ATAAATGGTGACCAGGGGTGGACTTCTCTGGAAAGAGAAAGGACGCAATGATGCTGACCTCTATGCTTCTGAACATCTCAATGTGCCCGTTCTTCTAGGTCCAACTACCTAAAACAGCCACAACTATTCCGTGGGTCCCAAATGTTTCCTGGCTTTCATGCACATGCTAGCAAATGTGTTGGTATGGAAGTCCTGGTCATTGCCAACTGACCCAACTTATAGGTAAGAGAGGACAGAACAAGGGGCAATGGCCATCCAGTTCCCTAGGTTACTCACATACAGAACAGGAGAGAGCCCACTGGCTCAGCCTCTGAATTCTACCTCTACAGTTTGATAGCTGCCCTGCTCTGACATCCATTCTCCCGACCTCTAAAATCACTGTAAAACCTACCCAACAAGATTGCTGTTAGAAAAATGCCGTCAAATACCAGCCTGTTGCAAAAACAAAAACAAACAAAAAACCAAACCATCAACAGTGACAGCAGTTTACCTTTTCCCATAATCCCTACACAATGTTTTGCCTGGATCCTAATGAGAATTGTCTATTTACCTGCAATATACAAAGAACCTTTCTGGTAATCAAAGAAGTACAAATCAAAGGAATGATCTATAGCAATTTTAGATTTCCAAATTAGCAAATATCAATTTCAGTGGTTTTTTTTTGAGAATGGAGAAGCTGCAGTAAGAAGGGAATCATGACACCTGCGGTGGGGATGTCAAACATTATCCTATCTCCAAAGATAACCTGATACTTCAGGGTCCTTGTCCCTTGATTCGGTAACATTAGTACTAATAAACTTTCCCTGGGAAACAGTTAAAAATACAAAATATCAGTCCAAAAACATTTATCTTATTTATAATGAAAAAAAATGTAACAGCTTAAATCCGCAATGTGAGAAAAATGTGTATGAAAAAACATATATCCATGTATCAAAAATAATAATAATCATTTTAAATGATATGCACAGTCTTTAATCATGTGAGGAAATAGTATAATCATATGTTAAGACTGAATACAGAACTACCAGATAGAATATTAACCACACAAAAATGCATAGAAGACTAATGGAGAAAGTACTTTAAATTTATTTTAACAAGTTTATCTTAAATCCAAATTTGTTTGTTCTGACTAAATATTACTTAATAAAAAAGCAACAGGTCAAATTCTCCTAAAAATTAAGAACCAAAAATTTTGTTTCAAGCCACGAACTTGTCAACTCTCTCACATAAGTTATAAAGTACTATCAGTGTCCCTCTCTGTCACGCATGTCAGAAATATTCACAGAGAGTGTGTATCTCTATTAAGTAATTCTTTTGAAAACAATTATTCATAGAATTATTTTTGACTAAATTGATTTATCATTCTTTCAGCTTTTAATTGAGTGTGTGTGTGTGTGTGTGTGTGCACTTAAGCACTTTTTTAGTATGAGGTATATGATTTTTAATGTACTAAGTAATGATTTTTTAAAACAAAAGCAAGATACATGTTTGTCAAACTAAGAAATCCAACGCATGCCCATGAGGCTTTCCTTGAGGGTGTGACAGAGAAGGCACCCCAGCAAGAGACCAAAGATCTGAAGGGATCCCAGTTACACCACTGGGTCTTAATTGGCTCAAAAGGCCCATCTGTTGCCTAGTGACAAATAAATGCTAGCTATTCCTGCATCGCTCAGGCCCTGCATAATTACCTTACTAACAAAGCAAAATTATGACCCTTAGAACTTCCTGAAACATGAGGAAATGTAGTCTTAAGTTTTATTCCCATAGTAAAAAATTACTTTTGAAAGGTACGGTACAAACAGTAACATCAACACCCCCAATGAGTAACTATGAGTCCTTTTTGCATTTGAACTGAACCAGAATTATTAAAATTCACTAGGTAAACTGATTGTCAGTTTTAGGCTGTTTTCTCAGGATGCTTCCAAATTCTCTAAGACCAGCTTTTTCCAAAAGCCTTGCTGCTGCTTTTAAAACTCTTTCTAAGATAAAATTCCCTGAGTTGGCCAAAGTTAAAGCCTAAGAGACTTCTTCCTTGCTATCGGAGGCTATTGGATTATGGTGCCACTTACACAAACTTGGCATCAAAGAGTTAAACCGTGAGGCTCAGGCGGAAGCCTGGCTACACCCCAGGGCCCTGCAGGCAGCCCTTGGCACAGCTCAGGTGTTGTGGGGGATGCTGTGTATGAGAAATAGGAAGCAACCTAAGAGACAGGTGTGTTTGATAAACAGGCGGGGGAGGGGGAAGTCCTCTCTCCATAGCTCCCTAACTCGCGACTAACCATAACCAGCTCTTCTTGCCACCAGAGAAACAGAACAGCAAAAGGGGAAGGCAGAGTCGTACCCAGAGGAAAAGACCTGCCTCGCAGTGATAAGGTAGAGTAGAAGCAGAGGCTTATAATATAGAGTTAAATGTGCCTTGTTAGAAAAAAATAAACGGAAGTAGTTGATTCCTTTCTTAGACCACTTCTTCGCACTGCAGGTATAAAGTCTGAGTATTTTCTGAATGTGCCCCCTAAAACTATAAGAAAAAAGCATAAAATAGGAGGTTAACAAAAAATAAAAATCACAAGCAGAATGCAGAAAGCACAGAAATAAAGCAAGGATCAGGAAGAAGGTGCTTCACTAATCGCTCCTAACTGAAGGAAATGAGGAGAGATTAGTAGTAAGAACTCTCAGAGAGCATCATAAGCTAAGCCTATAAATCGTACTTAAGATTTTCTAGAAATGTATGTCTATGTATGCATACACACATGCAAACACAATGTGCCTCTCTTTTCAACTAACTCCTTGTGCCCATCCTCTCAAGTCCTTTGGGGTATTTGAATACTGAATCACTCAACCCACATCATTCACTCCCTTGATACAGGTCAGCCAATGGACTTTACCTAAAGGCTGGAGGGCACTAAGACCTTCTACTAACTCAAAACTTCACATGGATTAGCACATTCGGTTAAGGTAGGAACACTAGACAACTGCTTTTGTTATATCGTTTTGTTTTGTTTTTTTTCCTCTGAAACATCTTCCAAATTCAAATAAATTACCACACACCAAAACACTCTGTGTAACAGTGATCCCAGTGATGATATTTAAAATAGGATTTCACCTAAACCACTTGAATACTTGAGACCACTTCTATTTTCAAACTACTGAAATTTCACACATGGCCTCGGAAATTCTGTGCTTTAAGAATCTCCTTTTCAAATGAGCACCTCCCCAAATTATAATTTTACCAACACAAAGAAAACAAAAGATTTTCCTAAAAAGTTTATCACCTTTCTACCCAAGGGCTCTCATTTCATACCTCCAGACACTGACTGGATCCTCATAATTACTGTGGTCCAAATATATACATATATGTACACACACACATGCACACACACAATCCTCCCTCCACACTACACTTTTTTTTTAGTGGGCCAAAATACATTTCAAATGTAGACACTGTTTTGTTTTCAGTGATGCCATCTGTTTTATAGCTATTAAACTGTACTGTGTTGACACCATCAGCTCCTCATTAAAGGGCAAAATTCTCTAAGTCTATGAAATAAATACAATTGTAATGGTAAAACCAAAATTTTCTGCTTCATGAATACACAACCAAAAACAACTCTCCTAAATACATGGGAGAAATTTAAGGTTTGCTTTTTGTTTTGCTTTTGCAATGAATCCAAACCGCTGTAAGTAATAATTATAGTTGTTATCACTCATGAAGTGCTGAGGGAAACCAAATTTTATCTGCCTTTAAAATGGTTCTCAGTTAACTCTAGTCTTCACAGATAAAGACGATAAAAATCTGCTTAGGTCTGTAGAAAAAACGCTTTCACTTGATGCTCATTATTTCAAAGCAACCTAACGCCTTTTAAAAGTAAAAAATAAAAAAATGTATAATTTGTTCTCTAAAAAATTTTAACTCAAAACAACACTAAGAATCTCTAAACCTCCTTCTGTATAGTTGCTAAAATCTATTCAATTTTTCCATTCCAATGAATTGCAAAATCAAAGAGAGTGAATAAAATAGTCCTTAAGTATTTCTGATTTGTGTAAAAACAACAATTATTTAAAATTCAATCCCAAAAAGGTCTATTAAACATCTAAGACAGCAATAATCATTTAACCCCTCAGTTTCCCAAGATGTAAATATTCTAACAGCCGAACACATCCATAATGTTTACAGATTCATTCTTTTATAACTCTAATAGGTAGAAATTTGCCCATCTATGTTTTGGTCATTTACACCATGGAGAAAATGTCTCATCATCCCATTAAGAAAAAAATTAAGAAACACAGTTCCTTGGCATCAGTCACTGAAACCCATGTATCTGTTTTTGTTTTGCATTTATTTTTTGTTTTTTTGCACACTTCTTCTGAAAGTTCTCTATGATATTTATGGCAGATAATAGCTCAAAGAGAATTATAAGAAGTCTAGACCTAATAAGTTCAAACCACTGTGTTCTAGTAGTCAATATTATTAACTTACACTAAGTGCTTAAGAGTGTTTGTAACATAACAAATTCGTGTTCTTTATGGATCTGTAAGCAACCAAAACTTTCTCCAAGGTAGTAGAAGCAGGAAGGACCGAAGATCATGGGAACAGTAAATTACAACTACTACCTGGTGTGAGTAAGTGAAAACCGCATGGTACTCCAAAGCTACATGTCTTTCGTTCACAAAGACTTGGGATGGGGATAGAGCTCAGTGGTAGAGCGGTTGACTGCACAAAGAATTGGGATAATTGTTATTTTAAATTGTCAGCTTATATCACCTTCTTAATTCTGGTGCCTCATTGAGAAAAGATATAATTACATGAACTTTTAATAAGAAATTAAGCCTGTAATAAGTAATTGAAACTTCAACTGTGCCATCAATATTGATAAAGCTTCTTTCTAGAAATGGGTATTTTTGTTTTAGGAGGGCATTTTTTGTTCAGAAATTCGGTTACCAAAATACTTCAAAATAAACATGATGTGCTCATGTCCGTAAGTAAGATATAAATTGCTTACCTCTGTCAAGTGTGGTGTAGGGTTAAATCCACAGAGATTACACACTTGATTCTTGCATTCCGTGCAAGTATTGAAGTTAGGAGGCTCCTTCAAACCGACATTGAGTTCAGTTTTGCAGAGAGGACAGGTTGATTCTGGTTTGGGAGTCTTCTCCACCTTGGGCGTTAGAACAGACTTTTGAGGCTCCGCTGCTGAAGGTTTGCTCTCCTTAACAAGTGGAGGCTTCTTTTCCGTTTCTGTTCTTTTTACGGTTGGAACTTGTTCAGCTTTGGGCTCTAATTTTTCAGCCACTGGCGCTTTCGTTTCTTTTTTCACAGGGATAACCTTTGCGGGTGCTGGTGGCCCCTGACCTGTGGCTTTGGGTAGCCCCTGAGGAGGTGGTTGTGGAGGAGGAGGGCCTTGTTTTGTTGGGGCCCCAGGCCCGCTCTGAGACTGAGACCCAGGCTGGCCTGCGGTGGAGATCAAATTTGATGCCTGGCTGAAGATCGATGCTCCAAACCCAAAGAGCTTTCCAGTCACGGTTTCTTGAGGTGTCGTGGGCTGTGACCTGGGGGCATCAGTAATACTTCCCAGGTTCAGACTGAAGCGTCTTGACTGCTCCTGAGGCTTCGGGGGCTGCTGAGATGGGGGGGCAGTTTGGCCAGTGGTAGGTCGTGGGCCTGGGGCCGGTGGCGACCCTTTTGGCATCGGCTTGGCATCTGGCTTCGGACTCATTTTGGTTTGTGCTTTCTTGGGTTCTTCCCTCTTTTGAACTGAATCAACTTGCTTTTGACCTTTAGTCTCTGAACTAGGCCCAGGGTGTGAAAGAATTTTTGAATCTGATGCAGGTCGGGGTATAACTTTAGAATCGACGGGGGTGACTTTTTCTCCCGTTGGTGGAAAACTCTGTGAGGGTTTGGCAGCATCTGTTTTCGGAGGAGGGGCTGTTATCTGTTGATCCTCCAACTGTACTTTGGAGCTTGGAGTATCAGGTTTTGCTGCTATTGGTGCTGAAGACACAACGTCTGTGGCTGGTTTCACCGTCTTGGGCTGCTTTGGTTTATCCTCAGCCATGGGGGCCTTGGCCTGCTCAGATGAGACCGAAGGTTCTTTGGGAGGGGCTGGCTTGGATGAAGACTCAGCCACAGGAGGCTGCTTGGCTGCAAGTGGGGGAGATCCGTGAATGGTTGGTTGTTTCACTAGTGGTGGGGGCTTTTTAGACTCAGGGGCCTTTGAGAGATCCTGTTTGGGTACAGTATCCTTCTTTGGAGAAGTCTGCTGTGGCTGTGGAGACGGTTTGCTCACTGCGGATGGAGGAGTCACGGTGGCAGTCTTCGGTTTGGGCTGAGGGGATGGTGGAACTGGAGCCAGATCACCTCCTAGAGCTCTTTTCATCTGACAGTTTAAACAGAGCCACTCTTTTATCTAGAAATAATATGAAATAATGGTCAGAGACAGTAACAATGTGAAGACACAAAAACGTAATTTTAAAAATGCATGGTACCGTTTGAAACTATGTTGCTCCTCACTTGAAACATATAGATTCCAAATTATTTTACTTAATTTATATTAAAATATAATGTTAATTATACAGAAATATAATTAGTGAACCTCAGAGAATTAAGCACTCTATATTTTTGGAAAAATAAAAAGTAAAAATGAACATAAAGTTGTATTTTTTTCTAATGTTAATTTTATTTTGTGTTTTTTTTTTAAAGATTTTATTTATTTATTTGAAAGAAAGAAAGAGTGTGAGTGAAAGAACACAAGCAGGAGGAGCAGCAGAGGGAGAGGGTGAAGTAGACTTCCCATTGAGCAGGGAGCCCGATGTGGAGCTCCATCTCAGGACACTGGGATCATGAGCTGAGCCAAAGGCAGCTGCTTGCTAAACCAACTGAGCTACCCAGGCACCCTAATTTTGTTATTCTTTGCCCCTGATTTACTGTAAGTTTGTACTCACAGAAATAGGAAACACTGTATCATAAAAAGATGAATTATAACAAATTAGATTCCATAAATTACTTCCATTAGATATTTTTTCTATTGGTGGCTCATATACAGTTTTTACTTACACAACCCAGTGTAAGCCTGTCAAATTATTAACACATTGCTAATTTCTTAAATTAGCAGAGCATTACTTTCCCCTCCAAGGCGACATAATCAAATGTGTGAAAACAAAAATTGTTACCCACACTGGGTTAGAAAGAGAACATTCTCTGTTAAGAAAATAAAGAAAAACCAATGGCATCTCTTCAAATTATCATAAATAATAGCATGATTTAACAGAAGAACTATTGTTTCCTTATAATTTTATGAATATACTAGAAAGAGCAGAGTAAGGAAGCAATATACTTATTCAACCGGTGAGATATATATAGATGTGAGATATACAACACATATATAAACACAGGTATAGGAGTAAGTACATCTGTTCATTTCATGTTGCACCAATTATAAAAAGATGCTGAATTGGATACTTATTTTAGAACATAATTTAAAAGTATCTATGGATAGCATAAGTCAATCAGAGAAAGACAATTACCATACAGTTTGACTCATATGTAGACTATAAGGTATAGCACAGAGGATCAAAGGGGTAAGGGAGGCAAAACTAAATGGGAAAAAATCAGAGAGAGATGAACCATGAGAGACTCCTGACTCTGGGAAACAAACTGAGGGTTGTGTAAAGGGAGGTGGGTAGGGGAACGGGGTAACTAGGTGATGGACATTAAGGAGGGCACATGATGGGATAAGCATTTGAACACTACATCAAAAACTAATGAGGTACTATCTGTTAGCTAATTGAATTTAAATAAAAAACTAAATAAATAATAAAAAGATAAATAAAAGTACCTATGTTGGGCATTTACCTTCTTTAAATTCCAAAATAATATGTGCATATTATACAAAATTTTAAATACTTCCAAAGTAATTCAGAACATCAAATTCTATATGATACAATCTTCTCCAACCAAAATAACCAATGTTACCAGTTCAGCACTGAGATTCTCTGTACAGAAGTCTAATGGTGAACAACTAAATATGTGGAACAGAGTTACCGGAAAAGTTTTCCACAGTATAAAAGTATGAAGTGTTAGGCTGGCACAAAGCATGTTCCTCATGGGCAAACAACTTCCTTTTGAAAAGAAACTGAAATAGCCTTTCCTAAACTCTTAAAAACTTTTGTCATTTAATAGTTTATACTGTGAAGCTGTTTTAGTAAGAGAACAAAACTTTATTGAATGATTTTCTTAATATAATGGCTTTAAAGTAAAAAAGCATGCTGAATCATTTAAACACATGCACTTGTAAAAAAGGCTTATTTTGCAATCCCAGGGAAAGCAAACTTTTATTTAGAGAAGGTTAAAGAGATTGTCAACTCTAACATGTTATATTTCTGTTTTAAAATGTGAAATGAAGTAAAATTAAAACATTTGTTAAAAATGGGTAGAAAGTGTTCATTACATTTGCTTTCAGTAAGGGTATTGAGTATCTGTGTACTTGCAATATTTTTAATATTTACTTTTCTGTATGTTTGAGGCATTTCACAAAATAACCTTTTATTATATAAATATCTGAATTCCAAAACATAAGCAATTGCTACTTGTGCCAGTACCCTGACGAAAGGTGAGCTAGAATGTAAGGAAATTTTCACTCTACTTTACCCCGTTCTTGATGGATATAAACTCCTTCATAAATAAACTTTTACCTACTCGACCATCTCCCCCACTGTCAATGTCACTTCTGCTATTGTACTGTTCATTTTTGCTCATTTGTCTTTTTCCACAACCTTAAATGAGACATCAACTCATAATTATGCAGACAAAAGAAAATGTAATTAAAAGCATAATTCTTTACCTATGCTCTGTCACTGATTTTTTTTTCTTGTAAAACATTATGAGATGTGCATCTACATTAACCACAGTAAATTATAAATCCCTAGGGTTACTGACTTGCATTATAGTTAGCTGCTCTTAATCTTTTTGATGAGTGTTATAACCAAAGCAGAAGCAAAATTCATTCACCTATTCCTTTTTAATTATTTTTTCTTTTTTAGTAAGCTCCACATCCAACGTGGGGCTTGAACTCACAAGTCGAGATCAAGTCTCATGTTCCACTGACTGAGTCAGCCAGGCACCCCAACCTGTTTATTTATTTATTTTAAGGTTTATTAATTTGAGGGAGAGAGAACATGGAGGGGAGGGGCATAAGGAGAGGGAGATTCTCAAGCAGACTCTCTCCACTGAGCACAGAGCCCAATGCAGCGCTCAATCTCATTACTCGGAGGTCATGACCTGAGCTGAAACCAAGAGTCTGACTCTCAACCGACTGAGCCACTCAGGCGCCCAAGCCACCTATTCATTTCTTTATTCAAGTATTTATTGAGCAACTTCTACTTGGCACAGAGCACAGAATAAGAGACAAGAATCTCCATCCTCCTGGAGACTACACTGTAGTAAAAAAGTCAGATAAGAAACAAGTTAACATATAACTTGAAGATTATAGATATGGACTAAGTATCTGATGATACTGTGATGACTACTTTTTCCTTTCTTCCTGACAGGAAACTTCCTCACACCCTCCCCACTGAATACTTTCTCGGATGTGAACTTCGGAGCTTCACGTGTAGCGAGCCTACCTAGGCTCTCATTCCATTTTCAAACCACTGTAAAATCAGAACACTACCACAGCATACCAAATGCATAATTTACACTAGTAGTGGGAAATACATTTTATAGTGCCCTTATTCCAAAATCAAATGTCTCCTTGTATTTTATAAATGTTTATGACTCGTTTCCATGTAATGACACAGGGAGGAGTTGGGAAGAGAGGTAGAAAACCCAAGTCACTGCCTCTCCACAGAGGAGAATTCTGCTTATCTCTTAACATACCCCTTTTCTGAACAGACTCCACTGCCCCATCTTTTGTCCCTTTAATGACCACATTTTCTTCATTTTGATAAAAACACGTAACAGCCATTTTGACCCCTCAGTGTTCCTCCTCGCTGCTAGAATATGGGTTAAAATCATTGCAGCAAACACAATATGAAAAGCTTTTTATCCTCTTAGGATTTTTTTTTTTTTTAGAAAGAGCCTCCTTTTATATTTAATTCTACTGGCCAAATCTGTTGCAACTAGAAATGATTTTTATCTCAGCGCTTAACAATCTAGCACTGAAAACAGAAGCATTTGCAATTCCCTGATTCAACTGGAAAACAAAAACAAAAGCAAACTTCCTATAAACTGAGAAAATGAAAAAGTCCACAAGCCGCCCCAGCATCAGAAACCACCTTGTACTTTTCCGGGGGGGCCTTGTCTTCCACCACGCCAGCAGGGAGAGGAATGAGTGATAACAGCACCTTTCTCCTCTCAGTCATCAGAATTAGAAATCCTGTGGTATCTTCACTACATTCTCAATTATTCCTCAAGTATGTCTGCACTGCTTGTGAAAGATAATTTCCCATATCTCTTTTCACATTTCCAAAGCCAACCCCCCTCACTTGGCCTTTGTCACTGTCTAGATTTTTTACACCCTCACAAAAAGATCATCTGCGTAAAACCACTAACCACAGAAGGGGTTGGTTGACTCTAACTACTTCCCCTTGCAACTCAATGCCTCTCCCAGAACTGTGAAATGAAGTTAATCTTTTGCAAGAACTTCAAAATATATCATTTTGAAATGTAAAATGCTAGTATTTATATTCAATCTATTTTCAGGTCTATATACCCCAAAGATAGTAAGTAACAAACAGTAAGGACTTCCCGGTAGTGGTCTTTCCACTGATGCCCTGGGGTCTAACTAAGCCTTTAAGCATGACAGATGCCCACAGTTTTGAGCTGTTTTGAATTAAATAAATTAACTGAAAATGTTTGTGCTCTTCAAGCTACAGCTTTCCTGTGTTTACTCTCTTAATTCCCACTGTTTACACAGTTTGTAGGACACGCTGCTGCCTTCGTTTTCTGGTTGCATGCCATGAACAACCTATCCCCATTTTGAGTCAAACTCAAAGAGTCCCTCATAATCACCATACCCGCTAACCATACATATTTTCCACACCTCAAGGCAATAACTGCCTGTCTCACTTCCAAAATTAAGCACTTATTTCTAAGTCTGAGCAGAAATGAACCTTAATTTATTACCATCACTTCCTCAGACACATGCTGCCCATTCCATTTGTTACCCATGTCTATAATATAGTTGGTTCTCCTATGTCTACATGATTGGGTCTTCACTCCATCGTAGCCATGAATGAGGATCTCAGAATATCTTAGTCCTTATTACTTCTTCCCCATGCCACAGGAGTCAAACAAGATCCAAGGCCAAGGCTGACTCACAGAAGGCTTCTACCAATATTTCATAATAACTTCCTCTAACTAGCACTTATTGGGGCACCTGTTGTAAGTGCAGTTATTGGGGCACCTGGG